GAATATACTATTTTATATTTTGTGAAAACCCTTAAGAAATATGTTAATGTGTCATGAAAAATTAAAATCATTTAAAATTTATAAATTAAAAATATGAAATATTTTATTTATTAAATTTTTATTTTAAACTTATGATTGGACTGGACAGTTTAAAACTATGGGAAAGTAAAAATAGAATGGAAATAGAAAATGTAAATAATAAGAAACTCAACCATAAACTATTTTTTAAGCCTAAAAATATGCATTTTTAATTTTCGAAAATTGAAAGAATGAATAAAATTAGTATCCAATTTTTTTCAATTTCCTATATTTGTATTTGAGGTCACACAAGTGGTAATAAAAAATAAAGAAGTGAAAAGTATTTCAAAGACCTAACAATTTCAAAATTTAAATATTAGAAACTAGTTTGGTACTTTTAAGCATTTGTTAGTTCTCATAAAGTAACCAAAAAGAAATGAAAAAAAAAAAAAAACGTGAAAAAGCACTCATAACATTTTTACGAAAAATTTAAAGTTCATAATTAAATGAAAAATACCTGAAAATAAAAAAAGGAGTTCGCAAATCACACTCATTCTTTGTAAAACACTAGAATTTTTACAGTTTCTTCAACATCAAGCATCAAATTAAAAGTGCAAAATTTTCATTAAAAAAACAAATAAAATTTTTGGAACATGTTCTCTAAAGAAAATATTCTCACGATAAGATTATGAACCAAAAACATGAATAAATTAGATGATTGTGAAATTCAAATAAAATAACTACATACTTTCACGTGGCAAGGTTTTTCTAATACAATTTCACATTAAATCTTTGAATGAAAATGCAACAACTTATCTCAGAAGCTCAATATGATTATTGAGCCTTATAGACGTGCAAGAGCATCTTCACAAAGTAATATAATTGCAAAAATATGAACATAGATTACAACAAAAAATTAATACAAAAAAGGAAACTGGAAATAAAAAATAAATACGGAAATTTACAGGTAACTATATTTGAATAATATAAAATAATAAACTAATAAAATAAGTAGAAAATATCAATGCAGAATGTTAAAGGCAATAGTTAAACTGTATGTAAATCTTCTCTATATATATGGGTGATAAGGGAAATGAAAGGCAAAGCTACTTGACCCATGAGTTTCAAATATTATAAAAAAAAAAAATTTATTTATTTTTTTGGGAGAAACAATTAGAAATTTTTAAGAAAATTTTGTTTAAAATCGCACTAAAAGTAATAAATGAAAGAGACCTATCAACTGAACTATTAAATTTTTTCCAACCACGACCATATAATAGAACATTGAATTAAAAATAAAATAAAGGAATCACAATAGAACCAACTTTCTCTATATATATGGGCGATGGGGAATGTGTAAGGCAAAGCTATATACTATAAAAAAGAATTTATTTATTTTCTTGGAGACAATTGGAAATTTTGCAGAAGAATTTCTTTCACACTAAAACTAATAAATGATATAGAGAACTAATAATTAAACTATTAAAATTTTTTCAAACTCGATCATAAGAACATTAAATTAAATTTTTTTTTCAACCTCGATCATAAGAACATTAAATTTTAAAAAATAAAAGAATCACAATAGAACCAACTTCCAATTGAAGAAAATTAACATATTTGAGTCATATAAGAATAAAGAACGATATTTTTTACATATTACCTCATTGATAGCTTTGGAGCATTAGAGAAGGAAGACGTTGATCAGAGAAGGGAGGTAACATTACAGAATAGAAAAGCTGCTTTGAGAAACCAATATTATAGTAAGGAAGAATCACATTTCATTTAATATCAAATTAACGTAGTCATAGTTATCCTTACAATCTTGAGATTTTTCTTTAGACGATGATCATGAGATTTTATTGATGATCATCATCATTTTAGCTTTTATCCAATGAATTGGGGTGGGCTACATAAATCTGATTTCTCCATTCTATTTTATTAAATGCCATACTTCCACTTATCTTTTGAGATATAAAAAATAACTTAGTTTCGTATCATTCATTATATCTAATGATATACATAAAATAAAGTAAGATGACCTCTATCTTTCTCTCTCACATCCCTCTCTCCCTCAAAGATAGGGATTTGGCACGTTTCTCTCTCTCAATCTCTTAGTGCATATACTCTCTAAAATTAGAAGGAACTCTAAATATTCACTTCGGTTAAAAAAAAAAAATATTCACTAATACAAATCTTTAATGATCACTCTCCTTGATTTTCTCTCCTCTCACGTGGACTTCTTTCCCTTATATTTATCTTTTTTGTTGCGTAAATACCTTATGTCTATCTTTTTATTTTCTTTCGATCTCTCTTAGAGTTGCCTTAAAAGTGCATGCACTAATTTTAGAAATTTAAGGAAAAAAAAAATGTCTCTTCCTTCCTCTCTTCCCTTAAAATAAAAAACCCTCGATATTTACTTATACAAATCTTCAATGATCACTCTCCTTGATTTGCTCTACTCACGTGTACTTCTTTCCTTTATGTTTATCTTTTAAGTAATGATCTTTAGGATCCCAAATAATCACCATTAAATCCCAAATGATCACCATTAAATCCCAAATGATTACATAAATTTGACACATATATCTAAAAAAGTTATCACATGGGTGTGGGTGTGGGTGTGGGACTTGACTTTTCTAGAGATTTATACGAAATTTAATGGTGATCTTCTGGGTCCTACACATATGTGTGAGAGGGTCTCATAGGATCATTATTCCTATCTTTTTTGTTGGGTAAGCACCTTACGTCTATCTATATCCTTGATTTTCTTTCAACCTCTCTTAGGAGATTTTTTTTGTTGGGTAAGTATCTTAAGTCTCGGTAAGTACCTTAAGTCTCCGTGATTTTCTTTCAATCTCTTTGGAGATATTTTTTGTTGGGTAAGTACCTTAAGTTTATCTATCTCCTTAGATTTTCTTTCAATCTCTATTGGAGTTGCCTTAAAAGTGCACGCACTAATTTTAGGAATTTAAGGAAAAAATATGCCTCTTCATCTTTTCTCTTAAAGGTGAGAATGTCTCCTACATCCTATAAAATTAGGGGTAATATTATAATATAGACCCTATAGAATTAGGGGTAATAATGTAGTATAGAAAAAAAATTATCTCTCTCAAAAAATTCTCTTTTCCTATCTTCCCTTAAAGGTGGGGAATGTCTCCAACACCCTATAGAATTAAAGCCGCAGTTTGCATATGGATGCGCCTTCAAATTTTGTAGCTGTAGAGGTAAGGTGCGCCTTCAAATTTTGTCATGGTATATAATTTTGATATAAAATGTTCTTAGTATTATATCAAAATCTAATTTTATATCTAATTATAAAATTTAATTTTAAAAAATGGTTAAAATCAAGTAGATCTATAAACATATGAAAATCTTGAAAAGGGACGGTGTAGATAATATATTGTAAAATGCATTATTTCTTAGACTTAAAATCTTTTTATTTTTCATGGTCATACATCTCGAAGTCGACTTCGAGATGATCAATCAAAGGGTTTTTCAACATTAAAACTACTTTTTCCGATAGATTTTTGAGTTGCATTTGTAGCTGTGCTATAGAGGTAAGGTGTGCCTTCAAATTTTGTCATGGTATATAATTTTGATGTAAAATGTTCTTAGTATTATATTAAAATCTATTTTTATATCTAATTATCAATTTTTAATTTTAAAAAATGGTTAAAATCAAGTAGATCTATAAACATATGAAAATCTTGAAAATGGACGGTGTAGATAATATGTTGTAAAATGCATTATTTCTGAGACTTAAAATCTTTTTATTTTTCATGATCATACATCTCGAAGTCGACTTCGAGATGATCAATCAAAGGGTTTTTCAACATTAAAACTACTTTTTCCTATAGATTTTTGAGGTACATCCGTAGCTCTACATTATAACGTTGCAACCTTAGATAAACTTGGTCCTAGAATTAATTCTCTTTCTTCCCTCTCTTCCTTCAAAGGTGGAGAATGTCTCCTACACTCTATAGAATCTTTAAGGGTGCTTTAAACATGGGGAATGTCTCCTACACTCTATAAAATTAAAGTCCTTTCTTATTTTCGCTACATGTGTCCACTTTTTAATTCTGGTTTAATAATGTCTCTTAATTCTTGCTTAATAATATAGTATAGAAAAAAATCTCTTAATTCTGGTTTAAGATCTCATAGATGATCTCTTTAGGGCCCTTCTTATTTTCACGACATGTGTACACCCATTAATTCTGCCTTAACAAGTTAAGCCATTAACTCTAACTTAATAATCTAGTATAGTACAGAAAAAAGATCTCTCTTCAAAAAGTCTCTTTCCCTCAGAGGAGAAAATAAAAAATAAAAATGAAATATGTTCCTGAAAAATACGCATCCTATGATTGTACTTGAACCATTTAATTTTTGAAAGGAATGATTTAGATGTTCAAGAACTCAAATTCTACTATAACCATCTAGATATAGTTATATGGACCAGAATTTGTAAATTAAAGAAAACAATCTCAAGTATTTTCTAGAGTTAAATGTACAGTATGCTCCTGAGGGAGCATACTAGATGCGCTCCCGGGTGACAGCAAAGGATAACTCTTCAGAATTAGGATAACCACGTGAAGAAAATTTCATGTTTTCAAGAAGCAAAACATAATTTATGTCAAATGTGATATGTTTGAATTGAGCAATATTAACTATAAAACTCCCTCTCCATCTGCATAGGTCTTCCAAGTGAATTTCATGAAAGTTATCATGGGTTTCTTTGAAGCCTTCTTTTCTGAATCAAATATAAAGTTGGCTTATGTGAAATCATTGATGGTCTGGGATGCTTAGGTTGAGATGTGAGTTGATTTCTGCAGTGTACATTCACGTTGCTTATCTTCTTTGCTAGAATAAGGTGTTACTGCCATCTTAAATCTCTCTCTAATATAGTCATGCCAATGAAAATGCAAATCACTTGAAAGTTGTTTATATGATTTCTCACTGAGCAATGGAACAAGGAAAAAAAAATAGTCCAGCCAAAATTCACCAGCAGCAATGATCCATACATGAAAAAATGAGCGGCTTTGTTGCAATGATCCATACATGAAAAAATGAGCGGCTTTGTTGCAATACATTATTTCCGATTCATCCCTTAACTGGGAGAGAGAGAGGGAGGGGGAGAGATGAAGTGCCCATTTCAATGAACCCACACTTCTTGAATATCAGGAAAAGGACAGGTGAAGCTGGGCGATTAAACATTGTGAACCTGCTGCAGGACCACGATCCAGCCGGCAAACCAGAAGCAAACCCTTCAACTGTCTCCAACTCTTCCCTGGGAATGCAATAGTTGGGCATTCTTGAATGAAGAGTAAAAACAGTTCTTAAAGACTTCAAATAAAGAAAAAAGAAAAAAGAAAAAAATAGTTCTTAAATCAAACGGATGAAGAAACCAGTTCACAGAAAGAGAGAGTAGCAAAGAATGGAAGAGGCAATTAGAGAGTAATTGTATTACTACAGAATATAATAGGCTCTCTTCCCAAGAGAGAGAGACTCCATTAGAATGTTCAACACACACAATATGTATACATATATAAAGAGAGAGGAAAAGGGGGAGAGTTATATACATATACATATAGAGAGAGAGAGAGACCTTCCACCAGGATGACCAATGTAAACCATTACACTGATGAACCCCCCCCTTTGTAGAATCCTGGTAGTGGCTTCCAAGGCCGGTAATGTCGTCTTTGGTGAGGTTATTACCGCCTTATCACCTCCAGGAAGGTAACCCAAGTTGAATGCCACAAGCCTGAGGCAAAACATATGGTATGGCAGTTATTTTACAGCCATACAAATTGGTGGTTTAAATCGAAATTAAACCAAATGATTAGGACATACACCATATTGAAGTTGGGTTCTCAAAATCAAAAGAACTTATTTGACAACAAGAATGTGGTTTCAATGAGCCAACATAACTCTGCCTCCATGTGAAATTTAGATATCCATATTTTCTTTTTATTTAATTATACTGATCATTCTATAGAAAAGAGAGAGATACAGAAAGAAAATAGTAGAAATGTCATAATACTTACCTAATGGATACACCTTCAGGTACAATTTCCTCCATTCTGCTATGGCATAGTAAAAAGAGCTTAACCAGTCCCCTCTGCAAACAGAGACCAGCAGACAATTCAGCAATTGCTTAAAACAGAGAAAGAGAGAGAGAGAGAGAGAGAGAGAGAGTATACTTCACCTTAACAAATAACAAGTACGAATGTCAAACCTATGGATTTAGTCTGGAAATCAAACATAATAGGAATAGCATTCTGAAATATTCTATTGAGAAAGTAATAATACCTCATAGAGAGTAGCCGCTTCATCTAGCAAGGAATGAGTACTATCTAAAGCAAATTGCTGAATATCTAGTCCATATACATGTCCATGACCTGATCCATTAGAAACCATCTTAAGCAAAGCCAAGGTATCATGGCCATTCCCGCATGTAGCATCGATCACAATATCACCTCCTCGAACAACATGCCGCCATACTCTAAGTTACAGCCAGGAGAAATGAAAGACCATTTAGAGCTTTTATTTTGGAATCCGTAAGAAAAGAGAAAGCGTGAGTTTCTAATAGCTCATTGTACCATGAATGAGCAATGTCCACTGCGATCACGGACATCTGGTTAAATGAATGGGACATGAGGATCTCTCTCTCTCTCTCTCTCTCTCATCCATCAATTATCAGACGGTCGCACCCCTATCAGTGTTTAAAACTCCCTATCAGTGTTTAAAACTTGGTGAGTCCGAGACAGGTGCCCGAGTCGCTTGCAACTGGCACCTTACCAGTTCCTATGACCCAGACTTGGAAAAACTAAGTCTTTTGCGAGTTTGAACAAGTATTGCCTAGTCTGCCCAAGTATAGCCGAGTCTCAACCAAGTCTGGGTCTTCCAAATAACTTGTGATTTTGGTCTGACTCTTTGACCAGTCAGACTTGGGACTTAGCGATCTGACTCAGACCCCTCTGCACCGATCCGGTTCCATGCCTAGTTTTGTGTTTTTAAACAACGATTCCAATGAACAAATGGCTTTTCACAGTCCATAGGACTATAAATTACATACATTTTCTTCCACTGATGGTCAGAGAGTGGAAATTAAACAAGATGGTTTGTTCAAAAGCTGTAGCTGCTTGAACAATGGAGCTGACATTCTAGGCACTGGAAAGTGTCATCTATAAATGCAAGGATATTTACACCCTCTAGTTAACTCATCATATGGGAAGGAAGAATGCTACAATTCTAAATTTCTACTAGATGTTCGCCTTATAAAACATAAATTGTTTCACTAGTATGAGTGAATTTGGCAAAATTTGTAAGGAGTTCTCCATGACTCAATATCAACATGTCAAGATTCAAGTTATAAGACAAAATAAGAGTCGAGCAATAAAGGAGTAGAAGTTGATTAATTGAAAATGCAAAAATTATGCATCGAAAAGGGGGAAATTGTACCTACGAGTGAGCTACTTCTGTTACTTTTCTCTCGCCATAAATGAAACCCATCAATGCATCCTCCAAACCTGAAAAACAATGGGTTCAAAAGTAGAATTAAATTCATTTCCCATATTGTTTTAGTCTATGTTACAAGGATGCCAATACGTGTCTCACCCTCACATATACGAGGGCCAAAAGAGTCACCCCAAAAGTGGCTCTTCTGACACAACACATTTATACATTATTTGAAAGAAGGGGAGGGTGACACTACAGTGCTTCTAATGTTCTGTAATGTTTTGGATGAAGGGGAACGTAAGTTCTATCTAGATGAAGGGGAAGGATTTGAGTGACGCTAAAGAACTTATATCGCGTTATTTTCTAAATTGTCAAACAGGGCATTGTTAAGTTTCTAAATTGTCAAACAGAGCATCGTTCCTCAGTGCGTCAACACACCGCTAAAAACCATTCACACCGGTGTCCACGTTACATAGGCTTTAAGACAAGATGGAATAAAATAGCTAGTGAAAAATGTATTTTTCATAGGAGTAGCCAAATGAAGAGCCAACAAGTGCATAAACTATACGACAAAGGAAAGAGGGTATCTGTTAAAAGCAGGTATCCATATTAAAAATAAAGTAAAGCATCTTCATTCATTGATTATACTTAGTAAACCATTCACAATTACACTGCATTAGCCAACAAAAAGAGAAAAGAAAGAGCTTCATTATATTATCAGGCAAAAGAAGAAAAACAAGACGATTGAAAAGGTCATAAGAAGTAAAGGGAAAATGGTTACCGAGACACCAACTTTACCACCAGAGAAACCTAAATTCTCCCCATATTTCCAAACTTAAAACCCTAATCTTCATTAAAATTCACGTTTCCTAGCCCAAAACCCTAATTTTTATTCAAACTTCCTCATTCACTGTAGTGGAGAAAAAATTAGAATAAAATTAACACAGATGGAGATTCTTGAACATACCCAATACTGGAGATGTCTCTGAAACTGAGCTAATTGCAAAATTTCCAGATTTTGTATGCTTCTTCTTGTACTTGAACTCTTCTGAAACTAGATTAGGGTTCTGTAGGCAACAAACTTTAGGAAAATTTTGTCTGAGTGAAAAGGAACTGGGGCTAAACAATGGGAAGTTAGGAATGGACATTCTCAAGCAAGTAAAGGTCTTCATAGCTGAGAATATTGGCCAGAAATGGAAACTGGAAAGCTTGAAATTTTAGGCTATTGAGGTTCAGATAATGGTATTTATACTGAAGAAAAAAGCATTAAACGGATGAATAAGGGAGCGGAAGCACAGAATCTAGACCGCACAAATTACATCTGACGGTCAAAATTGATTTAGGAGCCTCTGGCGTTTAAGGGGTGCGATGTCCGTGTGAAACACCTCTACTGGTGCGTGTGTTTCATGAGGGGGAGGCCAAATTGAGTTCTAAACTTTAGAGTGAGAGACATGAACCTCCCGCGTGCCATTCGACCCCCTTCGCCATTCTGGTTCCCATTGACACAACCCCCACCACCCAAAACACCTGCTCCTATGTCTCTCTCTTCTCATTCCTCTTCTCTCTCTTCCCCTTTCTCTTATTATTCCCCTTCTCTCCCTTCTCACTCCTCTGCACCTCAAAAGTCCCAAATCACACCATCAACTAACGCATCCATTCAAATTACTCATTTCCTTGCTCTCTCAGCAACTCAAATTGAAAAACCAAAGCACCCATCAAAATCAATAGCTCTTCTTTCTCTCTCTTCTTCTTCTTCTCCTTCAAAGAACCCACCTTTCTCTCTCTCCTACTCTTCTCTTTCTTCTGCTTTCTGTAACACATCAAAGAACCCACACTCCGTTTTTTCTTCTTATTCCCAAACCAGATGGCTCTCAATTACAAATGCTCCCTCTCTTTCTCTCTCTTCTCACTCATCTGCAACTCACACCCCCAAAACCCCCCTCTTTCTCAGACCTTCAATCCATTCCACCACTCTCCAAGACCTCCAAAACTTCAGGGAGTGGGCTCAGAAACTCTCTCTCTCAATTGGGTCCGATTCTTCTCTCTCTAAAATCGACCAACCCGAACCCAGTCTCTTATTTAGAGAGATAGAATGGCTTTTGCAAGATGCAATGGAGGATTACACCGCAAATACTCAAATGGGTTCCTCCACAAACAACAATTTTTTGAGACTGAGGACCTCTTTAGAGGATCTTTATGCTTTATGGGAAGAGAGAATTGTAAAAAGAAGGCCTTTTCAATACATTGTGGGCTGTGAACACTGGAGAGACATGGTTTTAGCGGTTGAAGAAGGGGTTTTGATACCAAGGCCTGAGACTGAGGTTTTGGTAGACATGGTTGAGGAGGTAGTGAGAGAAAGAAAGGATCTAAGAGAGGGTTTGTGGGTCGATCTCGGCACCGGAAGTGGAGCAATTGGGCTTGGAATAAGCGGGGTTTTGGGCGAAAGTGGGCTTGTTATTGCTGTGGATTTGAGCCCAGTTGCCATTGCAGTTGCAAAGTACAATATAGAGAGGTATAATTTGCAGGTTAGTGTTTGCTGTTTGAGTGATCAATTTAATGTGATTTAATTTTTGTTCTTATAAATTTTCCATAATCCATAGTATTGGTTGTTTTTCTCTGTAGCCCTACCATGAATTGGTTAATAAGACTGATAATGTTATAAGCACACATATTAGTATCATAATGTAGTTTTGCTTTCACATCTAGCTGTGGTTTCATTTAGTGATATGAGCAACCAAAATAGTGTTAATGTTTTATTGATTACCTCTCTCTATCTCTATTATGAGTTTGTTGACATGACCAGTATTGCCATCACTTAGTTCTATAATTGATACATTAGCTTCCACATTAGTGTTATTCTTGTTGTTTTTATGAGTTGGGCTTTGGTCTAGGTGATTATTAATATGATAAATTATGTATTCTTGATTCTTGGAGTGCACCCATGTTTCGTTTTTGCTAGTGCGACAATAGTCGGCCGAGTAACTTGCCTCGGGGCAAGTTCCTGGCGAGTTAAGTGTACAACTCGCCTGGCCCAAATAAATGCTAAAAAAGTGTATAAAAAATACAAAGAAATGAAAAATGTAAGAAAACTCTAGCATAATGGTTAGAAATGCTTCTTTAGAGGATTTTGTTAGTTTTTTAGATTATTTGGGAACTTTCATATTCTTCCCTTTTTAAAAATTTTGTCAGAGATGTGCAAGGTATAAATCCACTTTTTCAGTAATCCATCTTTTATAGGTATTCTTTCATCGTATTTAGTCTTCTAATAATTCTATTAACCCCTTTAACTTTTTCGTATTGTTACACTTTTATTATAGACTTTTTAACCTTTTTTTAGTTTTTTTTCACTTTTTTCTGGGGCGTACCTAACTTGAGTTACAAGGGCGGATTACTTTGGCTAGGTTGATTTTCTATACACTGCTTTTTTGCTTACTTCAAGCAAGTAATGACTGATAAAAAACTAAACAAAGACCAGAGGTAATCATACCAAGTCAATTTTGCCAGGTGCCTACAAGAAGTGTCAATGCAAACCTCATTTTTAAATTCTCTCACTGGACATATGGATCGTTTCAAAGAAGTTGTTTTCCTTATTATAATAATATTGTTGATTTTTTTTATACTACTATCATTTATTTTTCATTTTGAAAGCTTGTTATTATTGATGGTTAGCTTTCCTTTTTTCAAGAACTACAATCAATCCCAATCTCTCCCTCTCATCATTGTTTTCAGTGGTCAATCTCCACTTAGGAGTTAAACTGCTGGTTTGTGGTATGTTTGATCCATTTAGCTATGTAGAGCTGGTTTGTGGTAATTTGTTTTTAAGGATTTGATCTTATGGGGGTTTCTTTTTTTACTCCCATGCAATGGAACATCCCATCTTTTTCAACCATTGAAATGTGTATTTATACCATGATTTCACTGTTTCCATTTTGGAATGTGCACTTCAATACCAAGAAATTGTTTAGGCTTCCCCATTTCCTTCATATCTAAGTGAAGGTTCTTTGAGGACATATATTAGTTTCTCAATGCCTTATAGATGGGTTTCAGAGTTGGCAATTTATATTGAGGATACTCTTAACCCCTGAACCTGGATTCTTGACAGATATGAATGATCTTCATTGCGTTTTTCAAAGCCAAAGTCTGAACTGTGCGCTAAGTTTCTTGAACCAGGCCACAGGCCCTTATTTATGGCCAAATAGAGCCTTCTCCAGGCTATACACTAGTTGTCAAAATCTTTATATCCACAGAGGAACTTTTTTGTCTCTTCTACTGAATTACAACTATGGACCAAAATACTATCTCATTGCAACTCTCTCTCTCTCTCTC